GACCAGATCTTTTGATACGTTCTGTTGCTCGTAAAATAAAAATGTCGCCAACTTTCGTGCATACTTCGATGCATCGACAAGGAATAATGTCATTCAAGGTGAAAACTGTGCCGAACCGCAATGATAAGCAGAATGGGACGGCCAAAACACGTGCTCCTGAATATTTGACGAAATTCAATATTTCACAGAATTAAGCGAATGGAGTCCAGGTTGTACCGAAGGCGGCGAATCCACCTAACTGCCCGGAGTTACGTCCTATCGAGCGATATTGGGCTCTCGTGAAGAGAGAGCCCTCCCAGTGCACACTGGGCCAGGAACCGTAATTAGCAAGACAAAACAAGACAAGACATGATTTTCATAATCTGGTTTCTCGAAAAGTAGCAAGTTTTAGCAAAAAGTCATTTACTTTCTGAAATGTACCATTTATTATCAATCAAAGGTGAAAGTTTGCCGGACATATAATTTTATATATTTGAGATATCTGAATTCATAGACTACAATGTTTATTTAAGCAGCGTTCGCCAACGCACGGCTTGCTGGCTGCATGCGATGGAAACGATAGAATATGTCTCTTATGCTTCGCTAGCTGCACGTTGGCGAACGCTGTAGGTACTAATGTATGCACAAAGTTTCTTCATGTTCATGTTCATTCTAGAACATGTGTGCGTGTGACAAAAGTCGATGATGATAGTTGATAGAGCAGTGCACGGTCCCTAACCTCACTTTTTAGTAACAAAAATTTTGTCTCTGAGTAAAAGAGATGGCAACGAATGGAAGCCAAAACAAACCACCTAAAACTGTCAACATTTACGGATGAGAGAAGAGTGCAAGCAAATCTTCGTGCACTGATCTAATGTTGAAATGAGAATACACATGTACTACTTACTGATTGACTAACTGAAAATGTAAGTATGTACGAAAACGGAAGCTCTGTTATTTCGAAGTAATGTTGACTCTTCCGGTGGATTATAGTTTGTGTTATTTTGAAGTATATAACTGATAATTATGGCAGAAGGTAGGTTATTTTAAATTGTTCAGAAGGTATTTATTTCATATTGAAAATAAAAGTATACAGCGTGAGTGTTCGGGAAATCGTAACATTATTTTTCAAAAAAATATCGCTCGTTGATCTGGCATCGCATGTGAAAAAGAAAATTATTTATCCCGAAAGTGAAGCCTTTGAACAGTCCTTTCACAAATCGCTTAGATTTCTAAAAGCAGACTTTGATTCACGTTATGCCAAGTCCTGCCGCAACAAGCGTTTGTTTTTCCTAAAATATACAAAATGACTGGATTCCCACTTCAAAGCTCAGGACGATAGCCAAAAGAAAAATGTAGGAGGAAGACCAAAAAAATCTTCTTGTGAAGATAACCAAAGAACAAGGTTAAAAGCCCAATCAAGTGCCAAACCAGAGAAAGGAACGATTTACAGCTGACGATGCTTTGCGATTTTTTTTTGTGCGAAAATGATCTTACAATAAAAGAAGAGTTCAAGAAAATAGGACTGAGAGTAAGTGTACCGTTACCATCTGGAGGTAATTTCATTTTATCGTCTTGTTACCTTACATTAGGAATACATTTTCATTTCATCAGGTAATAGTAATGATGGCAACCAGAGATGAAAGATAAGATGATGGCAACACCGCCAGAAGATTATTTCAGAATCCAGAAATAACGGCAAGAATTACCGAATTGAGAAGGATATCCTTCGTTGATTTGTTACAATTCTGTGTGCGCTATCTAGCAAGCTTGAAATCGACGTAAAGGCATTCGAAACCTACGCAGAAGAGACTAGAAGCTTGTCCATTATTATAGTTTTTACACTTTGCCACCTACGGTACACAGGGTCTTGGTGCATGGCCCGACAATCATAAGCCATTGTGATATTCCGGTTGGTTTATTATCCGAAGAGGCGCAAGAGCGCCGAAACAAATCCATCAGAAAATATCGGGAGTACCATTCTCGACAATTCAGTCGTCTTGCAAAAATCGAGGACGTATTCCATCGACTTTTGCTGACCTCTGACCCGGTGATGACAGTGCAGAAACAGTTTCCTCAGACCAAGAAAAAGCAATTTCCAGGACCCGTGCAAATGCTGTTGCAATAATCGACAATGCAAGATAACAGGTAGTTGTTAGAGTTAAAAAAAAATACTTTGAATCTAGATATCTCATCACACAAGCACACATGTTTGAGAGTATACATGAAGAAGCTTTGTGCATACATTAGTAAAACGTTCCCCAACGTGCAGCTAGCGAAGCATAAGAGACATATTCCATCGTTTCCATCGCTTGCAGCCAGCATGCCGTGCGTTGGCGTACGCTGCTTAAATAAACATTGTAGTCTATGAACTCAGATATCTCAAATATATAAAATTATATGTCCGGCAAACTTTTACCTTTGATTGATGATAAATGGTACATTTCAGAAAGTAAATGACTTTTTGCTAAAACTTGCTACTTTTCGAGAAACCAGATTATGAAAATCATGGTAATTTTCACTATTTTGGCTAACATTTCACTTGTATCGACCCAAAACATTGAGAACTCTTCCTTGAAACTTGCAAAGTATTCGACTTAAACGATACACTGCGTTAAAAATAAAGGATTTGTCGTTTGTATTGAAAATAGTACAAAAAATGTAAATTTCAGTTAAATTTTACAATATTCACTATATCTTTGTTGTTTGAAGACCTAGAGCTTTGAATTCTTCGGCATTTTTTATATTTTTCAATGTTCTACAACTTTGCCGAAGACACAAAACCTCTAGCATGTGAGATAAGAAAGTTAGTATCGCAGCACCATCTATGCGGATAAAATTGGAACTAATTTCCATTGCCAGATGAAGGCGCATGTTAAACCAAGAAACTTTGCCAAAGACACCATTTCAATATAATGCAAACCCAATGCGCTAGAGGTTTTATCTTGCTAATTTCGGTTCCTGGCCCAGTGTGCAGTGCAAGCAACAAGTAAATTTCGAAAATCTTGGACAAAAGTAGCAAAATCTGTTGCAGAAAAATTTGCACTGACTCGCATGACTGGAGTAAACTCAAAAGTTCGTCAATTTTTAAGTTATGATAAAGACTGACTAAAAGTAAATTGGTACGCCCCTGGCACACCGCTAGCATGCCTCTAGTGTTGAGAATCGAAAATCTTTGACAGTGGTTTGTTTACACTTCTAAAGAGAACAACTGGTGCAAGTTTGATCAAAGTAGTGGGTCGCGTTCAGAAATAACGTCAAATGGAACTTGAAAGAAGAAAAAATATTGTGCACAAACACCTGGAAAATCCGGTTTCAAGCAGGCTAAAGTCCTGAAGATGCCGAAAACAACAGTTTGCCGAGTACTCAAAACCTACAAAGAAACCCTGAGTGTGGAAAGGAATCAGCGGACCTACGAAAAAAAAAAAAAACTGGAACCAGGGATCGTCAGCTGCGCAAAGTCGATTTTAAGCAGCTTTTCGGTCAAAAGTATTACATCGCGACTGGACGTGGAGATGTGCCGGGAAGATTCAAGTTCGTGTTTGCCGACTGCAATTTGCAGTTGTGGCCTGAAAACGGAACCATTCGTCACATCCTCGAAGATGACATCCCAAGTTTACATCGAAGAATGCCTGAAAAAGCGTGTATTGTCGTTCATTCGCAAGCATAGGGGCAAAGTCATCTTTTGGCCCGATTTGGCCAGCTGCCATTACTCCATGGTGGTTCTGGAGTGGTATGCTGCCAACAAGATCCATTTTGTGCCCAAGCTAATGAATCCACCAAATTGCCCGGAATTTCGGCCATTCGAAAAATACTGGGTAATTTCAAAGCAGCGACCTCGACGAAGCGGCGGGGCAGTCAAGGACATCCAGCAAATGCGGGCAAAATGAAAGAAATGCGCTGATTCCGTGTCCGTTTACACTGTGCGGGCGCTGATGGGCTTCATCAAGAGGAAGGCTCGAGATTTCATTCGCACTAAAGAAATGTAACCAGCTGGAATTTTGAAGTTTTAATAAAAGTACTGTAAAATCATTAATGGTCATTTTAAACTTATTGAACCACAGGTCTTTTTGTGCGTACCAATTTATTTTTAATCAGCCTTTGAGTTATTTTTCAATGATTAACGATGCACAAATAAATAAATAAATAAATAAAATAATATATCCTGGATTAAACTGACCGAAAAATTGTTTTATTCCCAAACTTATGTGTCTAGATTTTGTCTCAAACAAGCCTTTCAAAGATTTTATGGGATGTTTCGTGAGCATCAGGGTATTTTCGAACACTTTGAATGAACTTCAAGGCAGTTCTATTAACACCATGAAAGTAGTGTGAACTTTGAGAAGTTCTGCGGACTTTAGAGCAGTAAACTGAACTTCAGGGAAGTCCAGAGAACTTTGAGAATGGTCAGATAAATTCACGAATGTTTAGGTAAATTACGTGAACTTCAGAGCAGTTCCCAGAACTTCTGGCATGCTATGTTGGATATTCATTTTCTCGCTCAAATTTTCCTGTTCCTCTGTAATGCGCGAAGAGGTCTCTTATAATCGCTTCGAGAGTCTTATTTGTCAACGAAGACAGTGAATCAAGCATGCTGGAAAAAAACAATGATCGGGGGTTTGGCTTATCAAGGCGAGGGACTCAGATATCGATAGCTTATTAAACGAATTGATGGCATTTATGAATGGTGCTCTGTAAGTTTTTTCTGGTGAGCTGATTGCAGACAAGTTCTACCCGAACCCAGTTTTAATTTGAGGGTATTTAATTGCGTAAACATGCAGTTAATCAGTGAGTAACCAGTTCTAAATTTACCATGACAGCATTGATCGTTTTTAAGATTGTACTTGGGCACTTTTAAATCTTCCATTTTGGAACTGGTCAATGTTCAATTTTCAATTTTTCAATTATTCTTATTGCTTATTAAAGCCGCCGTTGCTTCCTGCTCTCGGCACACGACACAAGCAAGCGACGTCACAGAAACATCAAGAAAAGCAACACAAAAGCCAGCCATGGCATGCTACCTCCAGTCCTATACTTCCGTTGAGCGCTATCTTGATCGGGTTGCTGTGGTTCGCCGCCTGCATCAGCGTCGCAAAGTGGCTTATGCCGATCTCCTCCAGCGACGATTTCCGCCGACCGCTGCTGCCGATGTTCGGGAGACCCTGCCGCAGGGAGTTGGACCGCCGCAGCAGAATGTCACTGTCGATCTGTGGAGACAGAAACTGAATGGATTGAGCGGCTTTTGCTAGCGTCACATCCAAAGCGGTCGTTCTACTGCGTCTAGGCGTGCTTACCCTGAGGGAATTGCTTCGTCCCCTCATCTGTCCCATTGCATTAGGACTATCTGGAAGAGACAAAGAATTCGATTTTGTTGTGACCAGCGGGGGAGCACGTGTCGTTACGTAACCTGACATCGGCTGAGGGCCACCTATGGTGTTCAGTCCGATGCCCGATCCCCGCCGGGAACCGGCCGCCGCCGCTGCCAGATTGATATTGGAGCAGAATGATATGTTGGACTTGCGGCGCGAGTTGTGCCGCTCGAACGTTTTCTGGGCGGAGAATGGCGAGGGTCGGACGAGATAACTACGAAAGAAAAAAAAACGAGACATATGTTATCACATCACGCTACAATGAAACAAAACAAAGGCTACTCACATGATGTCCCCCTCTTCCAGCTTCAAGTCGCAGGATGGATTGATGATCACGTACGACAGGTGGTTTCGCTTCTCGCTCACGTCATCATAGTCTATGCTGGGCAGGTTGAGCGACTCCATGCGACTTCGGACCAGATTGGCTATCTCCGCCCGTTCGATTTGCTGCCTATGATTGTCACGCGCTTCGTCGGCCATATTGATTGAGTACTGTGCGGCAAAATTTTCACCATTTTACGCACAATATTCACATCGACAACATAGAAACAGTCCATTTGGGAATCGGGGAAAAGAACAAGCGCAACAGACAAACACACACAAACATACATCCAAAGAATGTACAGTTTTTGACAGTTGGATAGATGACAATAGATTAAGTGACGCACACAGCAGAAGGAGAGAAAGAGAGAAGAGAAAAAAGAAATGTAATCCATTAGTACGGTTTTGATTTGTCCCACTTGCGGCAGGGAATGGGCGCATCTCTGCGGCGGTGAGGAGGACGTTTGGAACCATTGAAAAATCCACATTTACATGGGAAAATGGTGCGCCAGACAGTAATGGTGAGAGCGGTTGAATTATATACTCTTAAAAGTGGTTACTGGCTGTACAGCTCACACAGAAATTCCATTTTTTTTTTAACCACGTGAGGTTGCAAGTCACACAAAACGTTCACAAAACAAGGATGCAATATAACGGTGCGTGCGGCAATCAAACGGGACTATAGCCAATTGCACGGTGCTAGTTTTGTTCAGTGTGGGCGTGTGTGTCGGCGTCGTGTCCCGACTAGTGGGAGCTTGCAAAAGCCAAACATTCATCGGCAAACGGACATTTTGCATTGGTTGGTGTCAGTGTTCTGAGGTTAGAAGGTGTTCTGTTCGTGGTCAGTGTGTTGATCTACAATTTTGAATTCTATTCTAATTTTCTGCGAAAATCTTGACTCATTTGTTGAAGCGTAAATGTTAATCATGCCCACCTCCAAGCTAGGAGCAATTAAAAACGCAACAGATGCAACATGACACTAAGACTACATGACTAGAGCGAAGGCATGGCTGACGCTTTCCGCGTCGCTTAGCTAATCTACCTAGCAGGGCCTGTACGAAAGTGTAGCAACTGTAGTTTCTATTTTGGCTTTTTCGTTTCGGAATGGTCGCAGTATGGTCGTTGGAGTATAACCGCTGAAAAATGGGATTGCGCCACCTCTCTCAAAGAGGCGAATACAAAGAGAGCTAGTCGAATAGAGATAGACAGAGGGAGCGAGATAGAGTGGCTGAATGTCTCGCACGCACTATGGTTACTGCTATAGTGCCTATGTCTACGATAGCAGAAGAGCTAGCGAGCAACAATACGGTGAGGTTGACGTGGTACTTACCCTCGAAATGGTTTGAAAGATCTCTGAGTTTGGATTTTGTTTGTTAGTTTTTGGGATTGTCTCTTGGTATCTTGTGGTAGAGTTGCTTGGCTTGGATTGAGTGCGAGTGTGTGTGTGTGTGTGTGTTTGAGGTAATGGTGTATACTGTTTTGCGAGGTGGTGTGGGTATTTGACAATTTTGTTTTGGACATAAAACCATTAGACTTGTAGAAGTTAGTGCAGGTCATGCGGGAAGGTACTAGCGAGCAAGCAAAAACTGGACGAAAGTTCTGAGTTGAAAGAGGACTCCTAATTTAAGGACAATATGGGAAGAAGACCCTGGTTGGACAAATTTTGAAAACCTATGCGGAAAAAGAGACCGATTATGGGTTTCCCACCGTTATGAAAGCATTGATAAAGCCCCAAACGCAATGTGGATGGTCTGGATGGAAGCGAAACGGCAGCGGCAGCTGTTTAACAGCTGTCACTAATGACAACAAGGCTCAATATTGCGGTAAGCAGTGATGGGCCACTCTTTCAGGGCTTTTTAATTACTTTTTATAATGGAATCAATAACGTAAAATATAGTTGAATTTTCAGATAATCAGTAACATTCAGTAAACAAACAGATAGTTTAATGCTATTAATCTACTTATTAAAATGCATATTTCCGCACCGCGCACTCTGTTTTTTTTTTTACTGAAGGTGCACTAAACCGCGCTCACACGTGCACCTGCAGTGAAAACACAGAATGTATCTCTACGGTGCACAAATTTTGAATTTTGATGGGGAGATTACTAGCACTTAACTATCTATTTTATGAAGGGTTAACTGAAAATTCAGTTGAATTTAACGTGAGCATTCTATATTAAAAGGTAATGAAGAAGTCCCAAAAGAGCGATCCATCCCTGTTGGTAAGTATCCAAGTAACCATCAAGTTTGTTTATTTCCCGTTATACAATACAATGCCTGGTTCAGTTGGAACATAGCATAAGGTTGATTTACGGCTATTATAAAGTTCGTAAGCTATATTTTAACATTACATTGCAAAAAGGGCGATTAGCGGACAATTAGCGGGCTTAATGGTTACTTGGGTCACAATGCATAGCTCATCACGTACTGAGGCAAATGGACTTAAGAATTTCATAAGGCTCGACTTATGAACGACATATATGCATTTCATAAGCATGACTTATGAAAGATTTTCGACTAACATAAGGTAGCTCTTACACGCTTTTAGTCATTCCATTTTCACAAGCGTTGATAAACGAGTGGTTTATAGACACAGGACCCGTAATCTCAACGTCCATGGTTCCGTTCCAGTCTGATACGTTTAATTATTTTTTATCGACATTATTTTTCATAAGGCAAATCTATGAAATTCATATCGATTTCTTGTGGCTAAAATTTATAAGTGGTTCTTATGAAATTCTTAAGTTCTTTTGCCTCGGTGTAGCGTAGGCCCACCTTTGTATACCTGATGTGGCTAGCCTGTTACATGGACATACCAATATATTTGCACTGCACGGCCGATGAGACTAACTCAAAGAGAGAGAGAGAGACTCAGTTTAATTAAGTTGTATGAGAAATTAGACGAATCGATCTGTCGTGACCTTATCCGATTTGCAAGGAACTGTGCATTATTGTTTGTTTTGGTTAATCATTCACATTTGAGCTCAAAAATAGGCCATTTTGAATTCCGCAAAAAAGGCTTCAAAATGGCGTATTTTGTATTTTTCAACGACACTTCTAATCGATATTTTTGAACATTTTGTTTATACTCTTTTTTGAAAGTTTTTGAACGGTCAACGATTTCAAAAGTCTCAATGATTTCCTGTGCAACATTTCACAAAAAAAAAGTTAATATAAACATTTGAACAAAAGTAGTTACCCTATGGTTTTTGTTAATTTGAAAATTTTACAGAATATTACATTTTGCATAAGCCTTTTGATGAAAAATAATCAAAGAATATTGAAAAGGGGTTTTTTTTTGTTATATAAGTTTTAAGCACATTCTGGATGTTTTATCCAAAATTACTAATTAAATTTTACCGTGTACATTTTTCTGAACGGAATTACCCCAGTAACACAAATTCATAGAATTATGTAGAGTAAACTGATTTACAACCAAAACCAGTCATATAAAGGTTCCATAAACTGTGCTTGGGTTTTATTTCCTACTAGTTTGTCTCAGACGTCATTTTGATTACAGCTGACGTTTTCGAGTTATGGTTTGTTGAAAAATATCAAATAAGCCATTTTGAACTTTTCAGCGGATTCCAAAATGGCTGTGGTTTAGCTCAAATGTTAATGATTGACAAAAACAAACAATTTCTGGATAAACATTTTAAAATGTCCTATCTACTTTGATCGATTCCCTTCTTCGACTTTCTCTTTTGATAACAACGGCTATGCAAACAGATTTCGTGCTGTTTTTGTCTCTTTTGATAAAGAAGGTTCTTATCTAGCATCCAGCTGAGTTATTAACGAAAGAGAAAGGCGATGAAGAGAATCGATCATTGCAGATAGGACCTCTTGAAATGTTCGTCTAGATTTCGCAAAATTTCTTACAAATCGAAGAATGTCGAGTCTGAAATTAATTGTTTTTTGCTATTTGACCTGGAAATGCTCATAGGCGTTATCAGATCGAATTTTTCCGCTGCATCCTCGTTCCATACCCCCTTGCATTGCGTTTGTGCCTCATGGGGTGTTTACACTTATGCTATTTCATTAGCGCTAATGAGCTAGCTGCTAGCAAAAAAAAAAGCTCACTAGCATAATGTAAACAGGGCATCAGCGTCTACCAGCATGAAATTTCAGGAGCAACTGAAATTCGTGCTAGTTGGCGAGTACACTAGCATGAGTAAATCCGCACAGATATAAACACCCCATTAACCCTCCGTTACTCGCGCTGTTGTACTTTGTACAACACACATGAGTTTTCCATTGCCATTTTGTTGCTCAGTTACCAATCGATCTGAAACCAACGAGTATCCCTCAAAAAACTTGTTTTGATCCAAACAAGCTAAACATTGATTACAGTAAACAACTAAAATGTGGATAATAGGGAAATTTTCACGTATAAAATATCTCGACATCCTCACCAAATAGATAATTACTGTCTTCGGCAAAGTGGTTCAGGAGGTCAAGGTCTTTTAGCTGGTGAACAGTAGTTCAGAATTTTCTCACTGCGCTGCGCTAGTATACACGTGCAATCCTCATATAAGCTACAGCTGGAGATTCCGAACTGCTAGAAAATTACTGTCTTCGGCAAAGTTGTTTAGATGGTGAACATGCAAATTTTAATTTAATTTTTTTTTTCAAGTCAATTCTGAGAAAATCAATTATGATTCTTCAGAGTAAACTTTGAAAAATAGTGTAACTTTGTGTGAAGCTTTGGCATACACAATTTAAAATGATATTGAGCAATTTTCCTCTTCGTATTTCCATTCAAAATCTTTCAAATGTTCTAAAAAGTACGAAAATTGGACGTTTTTAGGGGGTGTCCTTAAACTTATGATCGGAAGTGTACGGTTTTATAAATTTCTCCATTCAACTGAGCAAAACTGCCTCACTCTCTGAGTTAGTCTCGTTGTCCGTGCACACGTAAATACAGAGATTTTTTTGTTCTAGACCCCTCGATAAGAAATTTTGAAATTAGCCTAAAGTGAAAGGGAGATCTAAACATTCATTTGGTGGAAGTTTCAGCGATATTGATCTTTTAAGATAATTTTTTCCATCTGAGATACGTGTTACCACTAATTTATCAGAGGTATTATACAAGTGGAATACTCATTTTTTTTTCCTTTGGTTTGTTTTTTTCCGTCGATCTTGTTTTCCGTGCTGAGCACCAATGCTACCG